AGGCAGAGGGCAGTAGGTCAGGCCTGGACTAAGGAACAAAGACGGCTGCAAGAAGGTGAAGAAGGCATTAGGGCATGGACAGAGGGAGAAAAACAGCAGCTTTTAAGCACTGGGAGGGTACAAGGCTACGATGGATATTTTGTTTTATCTGTGGAGCAGTATCTAGAACTTTCTGACAGTGCCAACAATATTCACTTTATGAGACAGAGTGAAATAGGCAGGAGGTAACAAAGAAAACCTCTGCCTTTGCGTCACCAAAGACTGCCTGTTTTTAAACATAAAATGGTTTATTGTATTGGTTTTTCTAGAGCAGAACTCTGTATATATAAATATAGAGGAAAACACATATCCAACTGCCTTTAAATGTGACAGAAGATGGTATTTTAATATTGTTTGTTTAACTCTGAGAGATGACAGTGAAGATTTTTAGTTCTTGTGTGGCAGTATTCAAAATTTCAGAAGCAGAGTTCAAATGGTTCAACAACACAACTTAGAAAGGCGCCACTCTCGTTTAAATTGCAGATACATGCAGAATATTTAAGAATTCGTGTGCTCTGCTTTCTTCTTGAACATACATCTCTTCTTAGTTCATTAATTTAATAACTTGCAGATGATTTAAAAGGTTATAGAGCTTGATTCTGCAACCCTTACTCACCTGGGTAGTCCTTACTCACATGAGTTTTTCCATTGACTTTAATGGGATGGCTCACAAGAGCAAGTGCTGCAGGACTGTATTTAGAACCTTGTATCAGCACATTTCATTTTTCACAACTGTGATCTAAAGAAGTTCCAGACCTGAAAACGGGGAAACGCAGTAGGCATTGGATACAGTAGCACAGAATGGCTGTCCCATATTACATTTATCTTCACTCATCCGTTGCCTCCTCCCATTCTCTCAGTGATAAATGTCATGTTGTGTAGAGTTTTGCATGTGGCAGTGTTCTATGATTCTCTCCCTGAGGGCTTCTGTCAGACCTGGATTACACTGGATTCTACTGGCATAACCCCAAGCACAGAAGCCTGATGGCAGAAAGTCCACCTGACCGAGTGTTGCACGAGGTGCCACAGCTAGCCATCACCACTCTAAAAGTAGAAAGAAATGTGCACAAGGGTCTGATCCAAAGCGCCCAAATTGACTTTCCATTGACTTCAATGAGCTTTAGATGAGGCCCTGATTCAGTGCATCCCAAGCAATCTCTGCCAGTAGTACTTCTGTGGACCCCCAGACAAACTTAAGGCCTCTCTACTGGAAGGATTCACACACGCCCTCTTTGCCAGTGGGGGTGAAAAAAGGCCTGTCTCACTATAGAGAATAGTAACCTTTGTGTTCACTGGACAGGGATTCTTCAGTTCATGATTCGTTTGTAAATTGGAGTGGTATCAGTTTTTCGTCATCGCCGTAGCCTCTTCTCACATTAATAATTATGCTGTATGACTCATTTTTTATGTGTGAAATAGACTGGTGGGTCAGATTTGGTGAACCTAAGTGTGGATAGTAAGTGTCGGACATTTTGGGAATGATTCTACACTCTTTGGCTCAGTCTGCAGAGCACATAGCAAAGTATTATAATGGTAGGGCGGGAATTTTATTTCGCAGGATATCATGAGCTGTCAATATAGTGATTTCATAGCAAAGTGTGTGATCCTTCTTTTAACCTGTCATTTTTAAAGGACCTAATTGTTTTGTGGGGCATTGTGTGCAAATTTTCTGTTAATTTCAGACGGGATTAGAATTTCCTCTTAGAATCTATGTATCTTTAATGGTAACATTATTGCACATTTTTACCAAAACAGACATAGTAAATATAGTCTAATCATCTCTGCTCGTATTTACTTTTGCCAAAAGCAGGGTTTGTTTGTTTTTTTTCCTTTCCTGCTTTCTTTTTGTTTTGTTTTCGGGCAAGGGGAACAAACTGTAGTGAACTTAGAGATGAGCCTGAATTGGAACAGCAGGTCTGATCCCCCTGCAAACTTTGGGGAAGTTTGGATCCAGCTCTCAACTTCACAACTTGGGCCTCGCTTTATGGATTCAGTCCTGCTCCCATTGAAGTCAATGACCGGCTTCACTGGCGCAAGATCAGGCGCAGTGATGAACTGATCCAGAAGAATGCCATCCACACACCACCCCAAACTCTGGAGAAATTTGGATTGAAATCTAGATCCAAATATTGTCATTGGGCTCATCACTCACTAATGTACAATACTGGGAGCTGACCAAGTCTGGTACTGATCGCTCTCATCTCTGTAATTTCCCATAAAATCATGGAGAATTTGAATACCTCCACACCAGCCTAAAAATGGACCTTCAGATCCTTGAGCCTCTGATGTTCTTTTAATCAATGACAAAATAATTTATGAACTGTATATAGAGAGTGCATTCATAAATGTGATGATGTATTTTATCACTGATCCAAGATGTCAATATTAGAGTCTATTTTACTTATATTTTAACCAATTATACTTTTTTGCAATTCACTAATGATGTATCATTTTCAAACTGCTTTAAATATCCATTATAAACAAACATTTGAAGCTCTTAATAGTAAATTACCTTGAACTGTGCATTTCTAGTATGTAATACATATTTAGTTAGCTTGTGCCTTTAGTTTCTTAAAGTTATATTTGTATTATATGCAGGAAATGCACTTTGTATTACCTACAGATGTGGTTTTTAATACTGCCTTGATTATTATTATTCTCATTATTATGCCAAAAGGTCAAAGAGTGAAATGTATTACAAGTTTGTCTCTCAAAGCAGATCTGGCATTTTTCCAGTTTATGCATAGAAAATGTAAGATACGTTTTTGGACAGTTTCTTATGAAAATATGGATGTATAAGGAATCAAATGACATTACATGGCCCTGTATTCTGGTGGCATAAGAAAATGTCTTCATCGTGTTTGGTTATAAAATTGAGAAAAATAAAAATTCAGTGTCATTTTTAGATGAGCACGATAGCATTTCTAAAGAAAATGACATGTATTTATTAATACAAGAGCACTGGAGGCCAAAGTTATACTTACACACACAGGCCAGGCACCATTCAAGAGCGCTCCAGTAAAGGAATAGATCGAAACCATTTTGTTCAAGAACAATGTAAGATGGAGGCCTGGAATATTTCAGTCTCCATGTTTGTTTATTTTTTAGTGACTAAGCCAATTTTCTTAGTGTTTTTAATTTTGCACTATAGCCTAGAGACCCAAATGACAAAAACACAAAACATCACATGGGACAGTTTTATGATCATTCAGATCAAATAAATTGATGATTGCATTCTGCGTTGGGAACTTGGTTCTAAAAGTGAAAAAAAGAAACACATACTAATGCACACTATCTTTTAGCAAAATACTTACCATGAGAAGATGCATGTTACATTTTTATGACAGCAAAACAACAGTGTGTAAAAATAATGTTTCCTTTGTTTTCATGTTTATTTAGAAAACTAGAACATTTCAAAGGTATATAGATGTAGAACATAGACAAATATATACAGACTGGGCAATGTGCAACTCTACACATTCTAGCTGTTTAGTTTGAGATCTTTAATATCCTCTCAGTTGTATGCGAGTTAGAAGCTGTCTTTCTTTTTTAATCATATTTTCATGCACTTTCAGAAGTTTTATTTTTTCAAGATCTGCACTTATTCCCGATCACCAAGCCCTCTTTATATCACCGTCCTGGGTAGGGGAGGGCAAACAATGTAAGTGTTATAAAGAGGTACTTTTACAAGGATAAACCTTAATGGAGATTAACGTTATTGGAAGCCAATGTACAGTAGCCTATGCTTAGAGTGTTATAAACAGAGGCACCTATAGAAAGGTTGGAGTATATAAGGGAATAAAATCTACAGCTTCCTTTCAACATGCTTGTCTACTCTGCAGAATTCACATCAGCATAATTGATCAGTCTAACATTTCAGCATTCAGATCAGACTGCCACAATGGTTTTTTCCCCATCAAATAGAGACAAATAAAATGCTGACTGTTATTTAAGCCTGTCCTTTATACAAAGCATTATCAGGTCAAAAGCTTACTGGGTGTAAGAGGAATTACTTCTCAAGTTCAACTTACTGTGGATTTGTCTTGGCATTTGTCATCTTACATTATTTGTCCAAGAAAATGTGTTTGCCAGTTACAATATTTCCTTAGACTTAGTGGTGGACTTTAGCCTCTTAATAAATGTTAGTATGTCAGATTGTGTCCTTGATGATATTTTACTTGTATGAACCATGGTAAAACATTGAAATCTGAATATTCTTCTGGCAAAAGTGTCAATAAAAGAGAAAGAGAAACATAGCACACAGTATATGTCCAAAACATATTTCTCTTTAGCTTTCTCATTAAAAGTAAAGATGTTTACAGTGTATGCCAAGAGCTTCAGTTTCTACCTAACAGTTAGAGGTTCTAATCTTACAGAAATTGTGTTATAATGGCCTGAGCCTTGTTGCTAGGAAACACTAGATTCCAATTTTTTATTCCTGCTCTAACTTCTGTGGCTGAATAGTGACTGGATACTGTATGTTCGATGGCTGCAGTTAATGGTCTGTTGCATTTTGCTCTGGTTTTCAGACCAGACGCATGCATTTTCTACAACAGCATCATAACAACATGTTGTAAATATTAAAAGTTAATATATTATGTGTCGCTATTTGAAAGAGAGGAAAGAAGTACTTTGAATATTTCATTTTTAAAAAATAAAATTGCAAACTAATAGTCAGTGTGACATTTTCTTTGCTCACACCAAGTACTCTCAAGCCATTCTAATTATTTCATGCAATAAAACTTTTTTTTTTTTTCAATAAAAAGCCATTTAATAACAAGGGTGGGGGAAATCTTCAAAAATATTTGTGGATAAAAGTAAGTGCTAAATTTTGGTATTGAAATGTAATTTTATTTCTGACTCTCAGATGTGCACTGACAATTAAAACCTGGTTGTGAAACT